AACTGTGCACCGGCTTTGGGCCAACAATTAATATCACTGAATATTGCATTAATTAAAAAAAAGACACAAATTATTGTTCTATCTAATTTTATCGTTCGCTTTTTACAAATAAACTGTATTTAATTCATATATATATATATATATATATATATATATATATATATATATATATATATATATATATATAAAATAAAAATGATCGTGCATAATTATAGGCTTTTCCAACAGAACATGTAATTAGCTGGTCATGTACATATTTTGAATGCCACATGGAAAGATTATAACAGATTTCAGCAAATCTGTTGCCGATACAGAGTAAAAATGGACAGGCTTGTTCAGAAGAACTGCCAACCTGCCAGTCTGGCGATGTTGTTTCTAACCAAAAAATTGTGGAGAGCGACTGGATGTTGACAGTGCTGCATGCCATCTGTAGAATATGCAAATTATAGAATATTAAGTAATATTATAAGTTAGCCCAGTTAATGATTATATGGTGATTGTGTTGCCGTCAGGGACGGTGCAGGCTTTGTATTGCTGTATTGATGTAGTACTGCATCACTGAGTTGGACTCATGATGTTGTTCATTGTGATAACACTGCAGACAATAATCATTTGTCTATATTTAAAATATCGTTCAAGCTTACTGTGCCTGTTACAGAAGCTGTAAAGGGTCATAGTCCTGGAACTGTTCAGTGACTACATGTACAGAACTGTGCAAAAATCAGAGACCACCCTTTACTTAGTGTCCAACCAAAATGGCCACTAAATACAAGTCATTTTTCAGGGGTGATTTGTGAGCAGATTAGATAATCTTTAAAAATCTTCAAAAAGTCAAAAGAAAGTAAGTAAAGAAACAGAATTTCCCAAAACTAGAGTTCAAAAAATAATTTAAAGATACAGAGAAAATAGCAACAACCATCAAAACCATCACCATCAGATAAACAGTACATTAAACTTTAATTTTTCAGAGAGAGGAGAAAATCAAGCTGTACTCTTGTTTCAGATCTAAAAAAAAACAGGTGTTTTTGTCTGATATTCTACTGTGAGAAGACCACTCGGTGCTGTGGGTCTGGACATCTGACCTGGAATTTTTCATTGACTGACCAGTGTAAAATTGTTATTCTGACAATGCAGAAGAACTTCTAAGACTAAACGTTTGGAGGTGTTCACAAAAGCATGGCTGTTTAGAAGCCGTTACTGAGAAAAGGAAATGAACAAAAAAGAAGAAAATCTGCAAATCAAACCAAGAAGCTGCTGTTCTCAGAACAATGGACTGAGCCCAAAGCACAATATGCAGCCAACTTCTAGGACTGAACTTTGGACATGTTTACAAGACGCAGGGGAACATATCCCTGCAGATTTCTTTAGAAACTGAATCTTTAGAAAAGAATGGAAGGTGTTATAAAGATGAAGGGTGGAAACACTAAATAATTAGGAAAATATTATCATATTCAGTTGTTGATGCTTGTCTAATTCTGTTAAATGTGTTTTCTGCTGTTTTCTTTGTACTTAATGGCAGTTTTAATTAAATAAATGAAGGGTTGCGTCTAATGTTGGCACTTTATGACGTGGTGGATGTTTTCAGTGAATATCAGTGGCTCTAATGAGTGCCAGAAAAACATCGCTCACACCACCACACTGTCACCACCGGCCTGTACTTTTGACGTGAAACAGAATGTCTCCATGCTGTTTGCACCAGATTCTGGTCGTTCCACAGCCGTGTGGAAAGGTCACTTGTTTGGGAGATGCTGGAACCAAATATCAACCATCATGCCAAACGTTGGGCTGCGTGATTTATACCACGTACCACAGACACACAAAATTGTTTTTCACAGACTATGTGAAGGCGGGACGTGTACCTAATACACTGGCAGCTCAGGGCAAATCCACAACAAAAAACCTGAGCAGAAGTAAAACTGTTAGATAAGGAACTGTTCCCAAAATGCACAAGCTGTACATTTTATACACAAACTTTACAGGAAGCTTTTTTTGACCAACCGTATCAATTTGTAATTTATTTTAGGGTACTGCTAAAGAGCTGTGATTCTGTAAGGATTATATTTTTTAAAGCGCTGTCCTGTTGCGTTAAAAATATTTTGATGTATAAGAGTGTGAACCTCTAGACTCACTTCAGTTCAAGCACATCATTGTTACAGATGGTTGAATAAGCTAAATTGTGTCTTACTATAAATTCACTTCTTATCTGGGTCGTGTGTTTGCATTGAAATAGTTCCAGTAGAAAAACTGCACTTTTACCTTTTCTAGTTTTTTTTTTTTCTCAAACGTAGATCATTCACACCTGTAGTGGAACAGGTGCACCGGAGTGTATAAAGGCTTAAAATAGTACTTTCCATTCAGGCCACAGACTGTTCACATTTGGTCTCTTGCCCAAGTCTTTTGTGGTGTTAGGCCTTTGTCAGACCTCTCTGTCGTCTGCCGGACTGAGAAAACTGATTCCACTAAAAATGAAGCACTGGAAGATGTGATGGACTGACATTCAGCCTGAGTTTTGACAGGCTTGTTTCACATATATGGTGCTATACAAGAGACCTCCCTTCATTTTATTCATTTCCAAAAATGTTGCATTAGATCTCATTTTTCATGAGAGATTTCAGGGAAGATTCGATGATCCATTTGCATACGGAAGTGGAAAGTATGGTAGAACTTGGTAGACCACCAAAACTATCAGCATCAGATAAACAGTCCTTAAAGCTTTCATCTTTCAGAAAATCAGGTTCCACTGTTGGTTCAGATTTGTGTAAGTCTGTGAGCCGATAACGCAGCGCTGTAGGACTGGACATTCGAGAAGTAAATTTTAATTGAGAAGCAAAAAATGCAACAAACTTCTAAGCCTCAACTTTGGATGTGTGGAAAAATATCCCTGCAGAATTCTTTAAAAATACTGAAGGCAAATCTCCCAAAAAGATTTGGTAAAAAATAGTAATGGTTAATACATTTACAAAGTTTAATTATTTGTTTATACTTTCATGTCACAAAATAACAATGAATGGCTGTTTGTATTATTGCTTTTCTGGATATTAATTTTATTAAAAGTTCATTCTCAATGCTATAAAGCTTTCAGCTTTCTTATTGTGGAATCATATTCTGGTTCATTCATCAACAATGTTAAAAATTTTGACAGAATTCAAAATTGTCTGAAACCTATACATTGGAAAAAGAAGCAACCATGTTCACTTGAATTTTGAGTTCATTGAACTTGTAATATTAAGCTAACAGGAGAACAATTTGTGTTTTACATTTTTTAACATTTAAAGTTCAATAAAGTCAACTTTTCAAATTAGCCCAGTTGCTTTCTAATCATTTTATTCAGGTTTTATATTATTTTATATTATTTTTATATTATTGGTCATTCCAGATTCATGGAATTTAGCACCCAAATGAAAGTTATCACAGTTATCACAGGGTATCACAGAATGTTTCGCTCTGCAGTTGTAGTTCAGGATGTCATCATAAGTTGCCTGACCACACTGTGGTGCATCACACTTCATCCGCTTTATTAAGGTTCTCTGTGCCTTTATGACCATCACACAAGCACATGCTGTAGACTCTGGAGATAAGCCCTGTCCCGACTCCTCACTGCAGCTTATCATGAAATTCTTAACCTTACGCCTCCTGTTTGTTCTCACAACACAGTCAGCTTGTCATGTTAGACATTTCATGTCTGTCTCCAGCAGAAAGTCCAGCTTTTACCCCTCACTCTCTTCCTGCTGTGTTGCATTGTGCGTGCCACATTTCATCAGCCTCCTCTGCCCTTTAATCCAGAGGTGATGTTTGGTTTAGGCAGCAGAGCCAAGCTCTCTAGCGTCCCAGGAGAGGCAGAGGGCTTTGGGAGATGGTCATAAGACCTCTCCCTGATGGAGGAGACCCTGGAGAATTTCAGATATCTGAACAGATTGTATGTGGGGGAAAGAGGAGCCAGAAAGGATGTTTCGAGTGGACTCCAAGGAGCTGAGCTGCAGAAAGCCACCAAAAAAATGTGATCTTTTTGTTTGGCTCTTTCTCCCCCCTGACCCAAAAGTTCAGAATGAAGCAACAAAGCAGCCAGATAGTTCTCAGAAGTGAAGCGCTCTCTACCCTACATATCAGAATGGCGGCTCCGTGCAGCGCAGTCGCATCGACAAATTCACACCCACGCACTTGGCACGCGAGCTTCGTGCCTAATTGGTTTGATTGAGAGTGTCTGTGGGAACTCCCTTTGTTGAATGTGTCACTTTTGTTTGGGGAGTCTGACACATGCACTCGACAAATGAATCACCTCTCTTTCCATTCGCGCTTCGATCGCCTGTTCTTGAATTGTACCCGTTTGCCATGGAATTTGATATATGATTGTGTGGGGGGTTTTTTGGTTGCAGATCTGGGGAACCAGTTGTAGTTTCCACCGTCATGTGATAAGCTATAAGAGTAGGACTGGAAATTCACTTAAACATTGTAAGGACTGAGTCATCTCAGAGCTTTGGCTTGAGAACATATTCATTTTCAGGTTTAACTAACCTGAAATGGAGATTAATCGATTTGACCAGCCTTTGTGATATGAAGGCCTCGTCAGACCTACCTGCACAGCAGCGCAGTAACAGTGACAATGAAGTGGTTATCACTGAGTGTGGGTTACTGTTTATGTGTCCTGATAAGTCTGGCAGGTTATCACCTTCAGGGCTAAAAAAATCCAGATTGTTGCCTCAAGTCCATAACCTCTGCCCACAGGGGCGGGCTTTTCCTTTAAACTTATCACATTAAAAGTAATGAGGTGGTTGTTGCCCCCACATCTTCCCTGTTTCCTGGACAATGGCAGCATACAGGCCCGCTATCCCCCGCGGTACCCCACACTGCTCAGCAGTGCTGAAATATTTAGAATTCTTCAGTTTTTGGAGCAAAGCTTAGCCACGACCCCCCTTGGCTAACATTGTCTCCCCACAACTGCATTGTTTCCCTGACTTAACAAGGTTTAACCAACTGTTTAAGACAGAAAGATGATGTCTTACCTTATTTGTAACGGTGTGGACATGTGTCTCCTCTTTTCCAGTGGTTGGAGGGAAAACACAGCGAGGGGTGACATCAGCCCATGTGATCAGCAGAGCTGTCAGTGCTGGATGACCGAGGCAGCCGACATTGTACTTGCCTTCACTGACTCTTCCTCATAAACTCTCAGTTTGTCCCTCTTTTCCGTCGTTTTCTCTCTCAGCTCGACTGTTGTTCTCTTGTCCTCTGCAACGTTTCTCTGCTTCTCTTACTCCCTGTTACCTCACACTCAGTCGTTTATCACTTCTGATAGAGTTTCCTCTCCCAGTGTGTGGGGGCGGCACCGAGAGACATGACGCTCACTCAAACTCTCCTACTTCTGCTATTTTTTGGTCCCCACTTCTTCTGCACTTGAAGTAAAAAATTGCTCTTTGTGGCCGTTTGGTGAACATCTGAGAACAAAGCTTATACAACATTAGTGATTAAACTTCCAGTTTAGATCTGCGAGTCATTAATCTCATCAAAATAAGCGTAATCTAAAGAGCAGCTCAGTATGTGAATACATATGGTTTGATTAACGTAGGACAGTCTGGGTTTCCTGTTTCCTGTTGCTCTGTTTCTGCTTTGTTTATTTGTTTCCCTGTTTAGTTCCTTAAGACGGATGTCTTGCATGTAATTTCACAATATCTAAAACTGAATGATTATTTTTCTCTTATCAGCCTCTCTCGAAAGAATGAAGGACTGGTTTCTCTCGTTTAGAGCCTGTAGTGTGTTTTCAGTGGGAATTCCCTGCAGCATTGTGATTTATTTAAAAGCCCCAACAGTTTAAGCTTCAAAACATATGACCATGATTTGGCCACTAGATGCCACTGCAGGCCTTTAGGGTTTTATTGTGGACATGGAAAGATGCAGTTCCCTGATTTACCTCTTATATTACCTACCTTCACCTAATAGCAGTGATTATAATGTAAACATTAAAGGGAATTTTTCCCTTTTTTATAGCGCAGGAAAAAAGCCTTTTTAGATAGACTGCAACTGCGTGTGTGTGTGTGTATACATATATATATATATATAGTGGTGTTTTACTTTCTTTCTTCTGTTCTTCTTAGATTTGAGACAGTTCACTCACTGAAAGCAGTCTGTGTATGTAAATCTCAAATATGCATAATACTAAAAATGGTGTGATGCCATAGAGGAACCACTTTTGATTCCCTAGAAATCAGTAGATGGTTCTTTAGAGAACCAGTTTTGCAAATGAGATGTGCGAGTGTGTGAGAAAAATATATATATATATATATATTTTTACATTTCTGCATAATTCAGTAGTTGTAGAGATGTAAACAAAGATATTCAGGGTGGTATTATGTGAATTTGTGCATCGAGGAGAAACTTCAGACTCAGATGTCTTTACAGTGGTGGTGATAGGAACCAGGGGGCCCAATGACTACAACACAAATGTAGACATTTTATTTTTTATTTTTTTTGTAGCCAATATACAGACGAGATGAGATCTACTGTGATGTACTGAATTCAGTGGGAGTTTTACAGAGAGGATGACTGATGTGTCTTTTTTTTTTTTGCATCGTCCTGCATCCCCCCTTAAATTAAGCCCTGCCTAAAAGGAGTATTAATAAAAGCACCCAGGCACAATTAATCTACAGTTCATCATGTTCTAGACATTATTACAGTCCATTTTAAGAACAGATGTTCAAGAAAAAGAAAGGGTCTGATTCATTTCGGAGTCTCCAGTGGTAAATAATTCATTGATCGTGCAGCTTAGTCATGGAAAAACGGTGGAACTAGAATTACTCTGTTGATCTCAAGAATTTCCCCTTGCATGACTTTATAACTTAAAGTTATGTTGATATTCTTCACAATAAACTCTGCTGGGTCGCCTCTGACAATCAACAATAGACAATGGACTTCACAGTGCAGCCCGGATAAGATCTAGTGCGTTAAAGAACATAGTACAAACAGCACAACAGTGATGATCAGCATCCAGAAGTTTATCTCAAGCTTATCACAGCAGCCATTATGATACACAGTGTGTCCAAACCTGGTGTAACTAAACTTTTTGTCTTGGAGGGGCCAAAAGCCAAAAAATACAAAACAGTAAAATTTTATTTTTTAAAAGACTTTAAAAAATCCTATTGTAAAAGGAAAAGAGCCAACTTTGACCTGCGGCCCAAACTTTAAGCAGTTCTACTCCAAACTTTTTTATACACTTTTAAAATCAAACCATATTAATTGGGACAGCTTTACACTACATGTTAGAATGCTGGTGTGCGGATTCTTTATGACAGATGTATTCAGTGGAGCTCCATCACTCTACAGAACGCAGTTCTTCTCTATGGCCAAATGCTGGGGAGCTTAATAGTCCTTTAGCTGACGCAAGACGTTGGGCATGATGGCCTTAGGTTCATGTGTGGCTGCTCCAGCATGTCCATTTCAATTAGCAGTGCTTCTCTATGGAGATTCTACAAGCTATGTGTGCAGTCGAACACCTGTGTGAGCGGTTAGTGCACCTTATTCACTAATTAGACAAGGTGTGCTTTTGGACATGGAGTGTATATATGGTGTAATTGAGGGTCCCAGTGTGGCCTTAGGTGTCTGTTTTTCCACGAGGACCCTAGAACACATTCCCACACTGCTCTTCGGTTCCACCACCAGTCGTGGTCTGTGTTGTAGCAGCCTCTTCCCCCACCACTTAAAAACAAATAACACAATGAATTACTTGCTTTAAAGTGTTTGTAACGTGGTTGATGCATAACACCATCGAGGTGAGTTAAAATGTGTACTGTTTCAGGAATAAACGTGTTTGTGATGGGAAAATATTTGTTCCAGGAGGATCAACGAGTGCTTGGTCAGTGAGTCAATGGGCTTCAGAGCAGCCAAAGTCAAGGAAAGCAGGTCTGGAAAAGAAAATCCATTCAACTATTCTGAACCAGCGCAGACCAGCTAACCCTGCCACACCCATAAGACACTGCCTCAGACATCGTGTTCACAGTGCCCTGTGTTTTGCAGTGTGTGTCTGCTCACAGCGTTCTGAGATGTAGGACATAAGATTTTACGGGGTAAAATCAGCCCTACCGGTCAGACATGCTCAAGCGTCTGTGTGGACAAAGATTTTTTTTGAAAATTGAGGGAAAAAATAGTGTTTTAAAAGTATCCAGATACGTGTGGATGAGAGACAACAGGGTGCTAGATTCGTCTGATGAGCTTGCTACCATTAAGTGTTGCCACATTGTTGCAGCTTCCTCTTCCTATGATGTTTAGAAGGCAGATGTTATCATTGGTAATTTGGCCACAGCTCGTTCCGCTTGTTTTTGGGCACCATCTGAAATTTTATCATTGCTCAATTCCTCTGTTTGTTACCTGCTATAGCAACAAGCATCATCACCTGGCTGTTAACATGTGATTTCACTGCTTTGTTTAGTGTGAGTGAGGAGCTTAGGGGGTGTGGCCATGCAAAGTGTGTCTCAGGGCTGCTCGCTGTTGTTGTTGCTGATGTTGTTGTTATTGGAGTATTTGTGTGATTGTGCGTTAGAAGCGTTTACCCTCCTCCTGTGTTGTCGTCTCGTGCCCCCTCCCTGCGTCTGATGCTGGGGCAGCGCTGAGCTGGACATTTCTTAGTTTTTGCTAAGACTTGCTGTTGAAGCGTCTGTTCCAGTAAAGGGCATTTGCCCACACGCACAATGCTTTCCGCATCATCTTCAGTGCCAACGCTTGAATACCTTTGGGGGGGCGGGTGTAGAGATCCACAGAAAGCCCCCCCGCACCCCAACTCCCCCCACTCAGACTCATTTAGGTTGGACGTCTATGTTCTACTCTCATGTCTGCCATTTATCACAACAGAGGTGTTAAAGCAGAACATTTTAAGAGGACATGCAAATTATTCAACGTGGTACAGATCTCTTTATACATCCTGCTTTACGTGCCATTTCCTGTCATCACACCACTCGCTGCTTTGCTCCTAGGAGAGGTTGAAAGAACTGAAACTGAAAGGCATAAATTAAAAAAAAAAGCTTATTTATCTGTTTCTGTGCACGACTTTCTGGTCACGTTTTTATGTACCACACCATGTTTAGTGGTTTGACATTTACAGTACAGACAGAGAACTTTCTCAAAATGTCAAGTCACTCAAGACAGGCAACACATTCAAGCCTGAGATGACACAACACCACTGTTAAAAATGAGAGGTCAGCTCAGCTCAACATGATCCAGTAACTGCTTACATGGCTTTTTGTGAGGTGATTGAACTTGAGGACACGAGTTCACACAACTCAAACCTCTCAGTTCAGTCAAAATTCTTTGTGTTGCTTCTCAGTTAGTTAAAATAAATATGGTTTTTAAGCTCAATTTCTCCACTAGCCAGGATTCTTTAGTCACACAATCCTAGTAAACGTTTCTTCCTCTTGGATAAACACTTACGGATGGATGTGGCATCGCTGGGGCTCAAACTCACAACCTCCTATTGGGGGTGACGGCTTGGTCGACTGCAGCACTCAAGAACACACGAAGCAGGTCAGATTTTGTGTCTACAAATGTTTAATACACTGGAGAAAACATGTTGTTTTAACTTTAAAGAGGAGCATCGTCTCATGTGGTGCAACTGTCTAATAATTCATCCCAACACCAGGAGGTTGTGAGTTTGAATCCCAGCAATACCACCTCTGTCCATATCCAGGAGCCCAAGAGGACAATATGCCGGATGGGACTGTGTGATAGAAGGAGCGCCAGCTAGTGAAGAAACTGAGTAAAAAACACTTTCAGGTTTGTTCCTCTAACTGAAATGCAGACCTAGAAACAGTAGCTGGGAGAATTTCTCACTCAACTAAGAAGTTTAAGTTGTGTGAACTCTGTCGTTCTCAAGTCGAGTCAACCCAAGAAAAGCCGTGTAATCAGTTACTATATCATTTCAAGTTGAGCTGATTTTTTACAGTGATGACTGTATTGAGTTTAGTTTATTTAAAGTTTAATGTAGTATCATAAGTCTGAACACATGCTGCTCACCCAGTCCATACAGGCCACATCGTAAGTGTTTAGAAAAATCCTTGTATCTCCAAAATAGTAACTTTACAGGAGAAGCAGGGCTGGATCGTAGTCTTGTGAGGCCCCTGGGTACAAGCATTTTTAGGGGCCCCCAAACTTTAATATATAATGAAGAAACAAACAAGATTTAATGAGATTAAACAATAGTTCATTTTCCTGTTTATCTGCACTTTGAGCAACACGTTTGTTTTGAAAATAAACAGAATTCACCTTCTTAAGGTGCCGTATCCTCTAATGTCTGCATCGTGACGGTTTGTGTTTTTTATGTAAGATCTGAATCATGATTTCTTCTCTTTTTCTTTTAAGCAAGACTGAGTCATACTGTAGGAACAGAAGTAGTTCTGCGCACTTAGAGGGTCAACACTATCTCATACCATCTAAAATACCACATCTGAATAGCAACAGCAAAATCCAGATACTAATACACAGTTTGAGGGACCTGAGAACAGAGAACATTCGTTTAGCCCTTTGTGCCTAATTCAGTGGCT